CATAGGTGTGCCTCACTGTACATTAGCATTTCCCCGAAAAGGTGCGAGCTTTTTTTTTTTTTTAGTCAATCATTGTTTGTGCACATTTTGAAGACGTTTATCTTCCTTTATCAAGGCTCTTAGCAGCTGCCTCCCACATTTGTTTCTTTTCTTTTTTCCTTTGCTTTCCCAGCTTCTCTAAATACTTTTTTTTTTTTTTTTGAGACGGAGTCTTGCTCAGGCTGGAGTGCAGTGGCGTGGTCTCAGCTCACTGCAGCCTCTGCTTCCTGGGTTCCAGCAATTTTCCTGCCTTAGCCTCCTGGGTGGCTGGAATTACAGGTGCATGCCCCCACAGACAGCTAATTTTGTATTTTTTAGTAGAGACGGGGTTTCACAACCATGTTGGCCAGGCTGGTCTCAAACTCCTGACTGCAGGTAATCCACCTACCTCGGCCTCCCGAAGTGTTAGGATTACAGGCGTGAGCCACTGTGTCTGCCACTTCTTTAAATACTTAATGATCAATAGTACTTCTAGAAAATACTGGCTTGAAATGATCATTGGTGCTATTTACTGATTAAAAAATAGCAATATTTCCACCTTGGGCAGCACCAGGTCTGCTTGTTGCCGCAGGTTGGTCCCTGGTAATTGCGTTTTCTTCTTCTGTCCCTCCATGTCTGTCACTCGTTAGGCAGATAACTCCCGAGTTGGAGGTTTCCTCCTACATAAAAAGGGATCTGATTAAATGAGCTGATGTCCTCCTGAGATCCTAAAAATCTTTTGTTCTGGAATTGGCGGCTAGCAGAGGTTAGCTCTGTCCTTACCCCGGCCCCTATGACTGGCCTCCCTTCCCCAGGCCAACTAGTGTCAGAAAGAATCAACCAGCAGCACAATAAATAATTGATCTTCAACATGTGCTTCTAATTCAAATAAAGGGCATTTAACCACAGTGAGTATCGCATGTGACTGAAGTATTTTATGTGGAAATTTGAAGATTTCTGATAACTTGCTGTAAAGAAGTTTTCACAGTGACTACATCTCCAGGGGCCCTTTCTATCTCAAGTTCAAGTTACTTAGACAGTGATTAAAGACCTTTTATAGGCCCCTGTGGTAAATGATAGCATAGAGGAAGAAAAAAAAAAAAATAGCATTCGTTGGCTATGTAATTTAGCAAGACTTAACCTATTTGTTTGAGTTTTCATCCATCGGGCTTGCTGAAATACTTTAAATAATTAACCTGTTTCTCTGCAGCCTGAAGTGTCCCCAGAGTTTCCATTCCAGGCCTGAGATGAGTGATTATCCAGCACAGATTGCCTTATTTATTTGGAAGACTCTCCATCTCAGTCCAGCTGCTTTTTCTTGGGACAGCAGACAGACCCTGGACATGGTATCCTTTTACGTTACAGTATTTAGAAAGTAGAATAAATCAGCGAGATCCAAGAGCAAAAGGCTATAGTTTATTTTATTCACTTTATTTTTGTTTTTTTCTACTGTCCCTTCTAGGTGCTCAGCAACTGAATCTATCGAATTTCAAAACATGTAGAGGTGTCGACGTAAGTCTCCAAACTCCGCACAGAGAATCCCAAACCACAAGTTTGGACATTTCCAAGGAAAGAAGCACAGGGTGGCAGGATGAGGCAAGAGGCTGCTTACTCCAAGCCAAATCTCATGACCCAACCGCACAGTCGTAGGAGGAGTGCGTTCAGTTGCTTTAGGAAACCAAGAGCAGTGAAAGAAACACTTGGGAATTTACTGGTAGATAAGGTTTTTCTGATCGAAGAAAAGCTACAAAGTAATGCAGACCAAGGGTGATTTCTGGGCAGCATTATGATTATGTCTTTTTAGGAAAATGCCCCTTCTCAGGGACCTTACTTGCTGTCTGCCCACAGATTTATCTGAACTGAATCTCGGTTACTAGTTTTTGCTTTCAAAGACCTCCTATCTAGGGGAACATTTGAAAAGAATTTACCAAGCACTTCCCTGCTGCATAATCTGTCTGTGTGTTCTGTGTTGACGCCAACTTGCATTTTACATGTGGAGCCAAAAGCTCTCTTCTCGGGAGCCTGGGTCATACTGCTCCTTTAAAAATGAAAGTGAGAGAGAGAGAGGCCACGCTGATTTTAGAATTGAGTCAGGGCTTTGTGATTTATAGAGTACCCAGGGTGAATAGGCGTGGCTTCTAGATATCCACAGGCAAATCTTACCCTAAAAGACACAGGACTTTGCACACGCCTTGCAGAACATTCACAACAGAAGAATCAAGGCTTGTAACCGATGAGACTCATAGATAGAATATATTAAACTGAGTAGAATCTGGTGCCTAATAATTTACATAAAAGTGGCCCAGGGAATCTACTCAGCACATGTCCTGGCCAACTCAGAAATTAGGAAATACAAATATTTAAAGAAAAATCTGGATTCCTCTGTGTGTATTTGAAATCCTCTCAAATATGCTAAATGGATGCAGTTTGGTCTTGGTAAGGGATAGAGGGCCTGAGACAGTATTAGCGGAGTTTGATTTTTTTGCCCAACTTGTGCAGTGCCTGCTTTATTGAGGTTTCTGTGGATTTTAGACCATTCACCCTTAGTGAAAGTCCCAATAAAACACAGAATGTAATTATGTTGGGGGGAAGAAAGGAGCAAAAGAGCAGGAGGCCTGGTTAATCCTTTTATCAAGGTAGAAAGAAAGAAAGAAGGAAGGAAGGAAGGAAGGAAGGAAGGAAGGAAGGAGGGATGGAAGGAAGGAAGGAAAGAAAGAGAAAGAAAGAAAGAAAAAGAAAGCAAGCAAGCCAGCTAGCTATTTCCACAGTGATTGACTTCATCAACTGTCATGGACAAGCACAAGTTGGACCTAAGTTGCGCATCATTTTTTTTTTCCTACCAGCCTTGTTTCCTGGATAATTTCCCTTAGATATATTGCTCACGGTGTCAATTATAAATCATATTTATTTTCACTCATGAAAAAGACGTCTGGAGATATGCAATCTAAGGCTGCAGTCTTTCCTACCTTTCTAGTTTCCCTTGTAGGGGTGTCCTTGATTTGCATTCTTACAAGGTGGCTTCAAGAACATAAGCTACCAAGTTAGAAGTCCAGATGGAAAGAAGGGTGAGCAGGGAGAGGAACAGGGCATCTGCCAGCCAAGTCAGCTTAAAAGCTTTCATAAAAGCCGCACCCAAAGATTCCTGCTAACATCTCATGTGCCAGAACTATGCCAGTTAACCCTACCCTCCAGCAACCTGCATCGGGACTGGAAATACAGCTGTAATTTTTTTTTTTTTAAACCTGAACACATTGTTTTCCAATTAGGAATTTGTTAGGGAAAAGAAGATGATTGGAGAGTCGATGAAATGGAAATTTAAAATATCCAGCTTACTATGTTATTGTGGGGATTAAATCTATGTGTAAATCACTTGATAATACTCACTAATCTGGTGGCACATGAAAATAATATTTTCTTCTCTCTCCCTAGTCTTACTTACTTCTCCAGGGCCCTGTTCAGAAACCAGAGCACACAGTGGAGCAATACCTTGATGCTACAATTTGTTTTTTATCTAATTAACCTCACTGAATAATTTCATTTTGGGGGAAAAAGTAGATGGCATAAGAAAAAATACTCACCCAACTTCTCATTATTGGTAGGGCATCTGAAACTAGAATTGCCATTTTACATAGAACCTGCTCGTGATACTTACAAAAACAACCAACTTTTACTTCAGATATACCTGTTCTACAAGCTTTAAAAAAAACCCATAAAAATGCTTTACAATGCTGCCTATGTTCTATTTATACGAAGCAGCATTCTTATTTTTGGTGCACTGTACCCAATGCTGACTGTGTCAGCAAAGATACCTTATACCACTGAAAATATAGGTATATGTACACACTTTTTGCATTAAGATCTTTATTATTAAGTAACTCTCTGGGGTTGTCAAGTATGTTATAAAATTACACAGATAATTAGAGATAAATATCACATAGAAATGCTGATTTTACATTCTCTTCTGAGTACAAGCATTTGATTATAGAGGCTCAGAGCACAACAAAATGTATTTCACGGGACATTGATGCCCCATTCTGATATTGACAAGGCAAACATTAGCAGTAGCGGACTCAACAAAGCAAAGCAAGGTGACATGAAACTAGATGTAGGTCAAAGGTAAAACAAGCTAAAAAATTTTTAAGTGTTTTTGTCTATTGTCATGGTGACTGTTTTCTACTTACAAGATTGCAGTACTCTAATTTAGCCAAGTAATTGCTGCTGTACAATCCAAATCTACGGTGTGCATAATTTTTTAAATGGAGTGTGCATTCCTCAAGCAGGACTAAAAATCATCTTACTTGGGTCTCTAATATTAAGCTTCAGAACAGTTTTGCAACCTTTGACCTGAACAAATCTCTTATCCATAAAACAACAGGAATAAAAGATTGCACATGTGAATTTAAAAAGTAACTTTATTACTCCCAGGCCAAAAAAAAAAAAAAAAACATGAGGGAAAAGGAAGGAGAAAGGGAAGGATGGGGGAAGAGGGAAGAAAGGAAAGAAAAACAAAAAAAGAAAAAAAAAAACAGAAAAGAAACAGAAAGGCACTCTATCTACCTATACCTATATATTTTACTTTTATTTATAATCTTGGACTATGTAATTTGGTTCATTCACTTGTGTGTTTTAATTTAAATTGAGAGAGAAAGAAAGAAAGATTTTCCAGGAAAAGCAAAAACTGGGTGTGTGTGTCTGTGTGTGTGTATTTAAATGAAATAAATAATAAAAACTGTGCCACATACTTATTGCCAGTGCAGCAACAATGTAAAACAGACACAAAACACAAAGAATTCTGAATGTACCTAATATTTGTTTGATTTATAAAGTTTAAAGTGACTCTTTACTCATAGGCCAGTGGGTGTGGGCTTAAAGTAATCATGACTAACATCTTTTAACATGAAAGTAGAGTATAGAACTTTATCTCATGTTATAAAATTTAAGAAATTTCATTGTACTCAGATTATCCACATTGTACACCGATTATCTTTCGGCACTAGCAAGCTAGCAACAGTTTCTCTCCAAGGGTCTGAGAATGTTTCTCGCTGCTAACCATCCCCTCACCTCATCTATATGATCCTGTCCTTTGGTCACGTCCTGGAAGAAGGTGGGACATGAACATAGAACCTCCCCTTCTCAGAGAACCTAGCAAGGTTATGGTTGCCTTATTTCTGGTCTCCATTTGTTGGAGTCAACCAGAGACTTTAAGAGAGAAATGCTGCTCTAAATACTGTTAACTTTTCTTCTGCCTCATCGGTTAGAGAAAAAATCGCTTCTAGCTCTCATTGATCACTACCTGGGCAAGTGGCAGTGGAATTGGTGGCATGGACAATTTCTTACAGCCACTAGCTATGCTCGCTGAAACGAAGACCATCCAAGTGGCAAACCAAGTGACTTGAACTGGTGAGCTGATTTCACAGTTACATTTCTCAACATTACAGCTTACTGAATGCATCTTTTGCCTATCTTGGTTAGATATCATACTTTTTAAAGCAAACCTTCATTGTATTATCAATGTTGACATATTTAAAAATGTATTACTTATGCTGTCTTACTTGTCTTTTCATTTTTATTTATTCTAGCCTCCTTCCTGCCTTCATATCCCCATATTTGAATACTACACCTCCAACTGAAGATACAAGTATATAAGATAATAAAAAAGATACATTTCAATCAATTAGGCTTCTTAATAGCATTCTTAATACAAAATTGGCTAACAAGAAAAATTTTAATAATCGAGAACTATGGAATTTTTAGATTATCTTTTACCAAGTTTAACTTACTCTACTTACCCAGCATCATCACAAAACATAGCTATAACACTTTCAAAAAGGCCATGTTTACAACGACTTGCCTACGGTGATTGGCTGGAAGATAAAATGATTTAGTGGTAGCCCTCATAATCACAATTTAGGACTACATTTGGGATTCCACAGAGATTCTGTTTAAAGTCAGGAGAGCTTTCTGATAAGGTGTTTCCCTATACTCATGTGCGGCAGAAGTGGTGGTTTCCTCAGGATTTTCACAGCTGCTGACAATGGCAACGGCACTAAATGACCTTCGTCTCGCCTTGGTGTCTGATGTGCAGGATCCTCGAACTGGCGGTGCCTTTTCTATGTGGAGCTGCTGGTCTTTCCAGTCCAATTGCTTGGCACTGCAAAAGGGGGCATATACTTCCACACTTCCTTCAAACTGTAAGCAGTTCACTTTGTAATACTTCCTCTTAACTTCCAAGACATCATTAAACCTATGGCCCCAGAGAATTTCTCGGGGAACATAGGAGCTTCTAGATTGGTGGGATGTTCCAGTGGAATCACCAGTATAGATAAATGTCACCAAAATCTCAAAGTTATCTTTGGCTACTGCTTTGCGGTCAAGGGCATACAGAGGGCTCTCGTGGTCAATTTCATGGACAATAGTTACCGGGGTGACCAGGATGATTTGGTCATTGACTAATTTGAGGTCTTTAAATGCCATTGTCATCCTCCCTTCACTGTCTTCTGTGTAGCGGAGAAGTTGGGCTCTAACTGTTCCTTCTACCACGTGGTTTGGCCGAAAATCACCAATGCGCCACATGAGGCACAGCTTCCCATCCCTCATGCCTATAAGTGCAAAGTAGCTGAAACGAATGGTTTGGGCTCTCTTTCGAGCAGTTGCCATTTTGGCCAAGGCAGCGCCAATGATAAAGGTATTTATGATGCAACTTAAGATGGACTGGAGGATCACCATGAGCACGGCCACAGAGCATTCTTCAGTAACACAGCGATAACCATATCCTATGGTGGTTTGGGTCTCAAGGGAGAACAAAAAGGCCCCTGTGAAAGAATGGACGTTGTCAACACAAGGTGTGATGTCTGGATCATTTAATAGATCGCCATGATGAAGGGCTATGAGCCAAAAGACAGAGCCAAATATCAACCATGAGAGAATATAAGATAAAGAAAATATCACAAACATATGGCGCCACTTAGTGTCCACAAGAGTGGTGAAGATGTCAACCACATAGCTTCCCCATTCTCCAAAAATGTGCTTGAAGTAGACATTACAGCTGCCATCTTTGTGAAGCAATCGTCTTCTTGCTCTTCTCTTCTCAGCTATAATGTGTTCTGGTGGGTAGCCTGGGTATTTTGCATCCACATTGACAATATGATAGCTGCTGCCGTAATAGCTCATTCTTTGCTGTGCCCTTAGGGATCCAGGTGAATTTTGTAGTAGTAAGAATTCTAGATGTGTTGCTATTTCTTGGTTTGGGTTTTCAGTTAGAACCTAAACAACAACAACAACAAAAACACACTTTTTAGCTTTTGATGTCCACCTTCATAGAAACTTGCCAAATTTGGAGCAGTGTCATACCATCTAAAATAGCTACTACTTCATCTGAACATCAGCGGCACAGTATTGATTACTCATTTCAGTTTAAAATTCAACCAGTCATTATAGAGGCAAAATATGCAATTAGAGAAAATAACATTTTTATATATGAATAAGGCTTGAGTAAACACTGTGATTATCCCAAATGATGCCTCACTAACGTTTCTGACCTGATATATAAAAAAAAAATCTGCTTTATTTTTGTGAACTCTTCTTGCATGAGGGTATTTAGAAAACAAAGTAATTGCTAATATGAAAAGGCAAAATACAATTCAGATATGTGTCTAGCAGTCATAAGCTTCCTAACTGTTTAAATCAGGTTTTTCCTTAAAAGAAGGATGCAATAAAGAGTTTCTACTTTCATATCATAAGGTAACTTTCGTAATTGTTACTGTTGTAATAGGTAATCCCTCACCTTCAGCACCTGGTGCTTCCTCTCCCTTCCACGGAGGCTTCTCTTCCTTGTGTACTTCCCAGGACAAACAGAACTGACAGGGGCACTACTTCACATTAAACCCATTTCCCCCTAGCTCCAGCTTTAGTCTTGAAAGAAAAGAAAAAAAAAAAAACGCATCTTTCTTAACCTCAGTGGAGCTAAAACTACCCCCAGGTAAGCTTTCAGAAAGGTGTAAAATTGCCTCTGCCTTTGTCTCATAACATCCATCCTTTTTTTTTTTTGACACTGGCAGCTCTTCTCTTTCCTTCTGAATAGAGTCCCAAAAATTTGCCAAAGTTGCTAATCTCGTTTCCCTCTTAAAGGGAGCACACTACAACTGAACCCTTCTCTCTGGCTTGTTAGTGTTTTCCTGATACTTTCACAGACGTCCTTAGGCAAAATAATTTTTCTCCTTCCAAATTCAGTCTTGAAAAGATCAAGGCAGAACATGCAGCTCTCAACATTTTTAGCATCCATGGTATGACAGGCCAATGGATTTCCCAGCTCAAGTCAAAGTGAAATTTAAAACTGCAACATCAAAATCATCTTGAGTTACTCCTATGCAAAACAAAAAAAATAGAAGTATTGTAGCCAATTTTAATAGCTTAGTAACTATTAGAATATGGGTTTTACACAGTCTACCTGTGCTAGATGGGATGAAGGGAGTATAATGGGGAGACTTTAGGGAATCTTGCCTCTCTATTGCATAGAAAATGCAGTATGAATAAATACTATTCCTGACATAAAGACCCCTAGGAACGAACCAGGGAAATTCATCACTAAATATGTGTTCAGCACCTTCTCTGCTGCAAAAGGACAGAAAGAGTTAACTTCCCTCCAGTGAAAAAGAATCAATTTTCTTTTCCTCCGGGGATCAGGCCCACTTTACAATAAACTCTTTGTTTAATGCACCACTTACAAGGATGGACTCCGCTTAAAGCCAGAAACTCCTGTAAGGCATGTATGGGTTTATCTCTGTCCTCTACCTGCCTGTCGGCCACTTCACTCAGCCATCATCCAGATCAGTTTTGATCTGTTACATCCTCTCCTTTCTCAGCACTTCAACCAGGTTCAGGGGGAACCAACTGTATAATTCCCGGATGTGACCTAGAGCTGCGAAAATGCTTACTGGATGGTTCAATGTAAAATATTTCCACAAATTTTGTCCACAATAACAACCACGCTTTGGAGGTTTCCATCTGTCTGACTTGTCACTGAACAATATTTTACAAACAGAAGAAGCTGATGTATGGTTCTCAGTGTCCACTCTCTCAACTGGTTATAGGAGGCATGAAAATGGGATGAAGTATAATCAAAGGCCCATATGATTTCAAATTAAAAAGCAGATATGGAGATAGAATTATTTTCTTGTTAAATGTGTCCAACCTAGTTCCTTCAAGCGAACTACACACATGGCGGGAGTCTGAGAGTTAGAAAACACCGTTTCATAAATCAAGAGCTACTGTGTGACTCTGCTCTTTTCTGCTGCCAAAAAAAAAATAAATAAATAAATATAAAAGGTTTTATTTGAAATGGCATTCAGTTGGCACCATTTTGAATTCCAGAGGTACCAGCAACTGTTATAAACAAGCCTCTTTCAAAACATCTTCCAAAGTGAATGAATTTTCAATTAATACAAGTTACAAGCGAACAAATTTGAGTGTGGGGAAAATGTACCCTTGAATAATGTAACAATTTGAGAGATACAAGTTACAACTGAAAATTTGGCCCCAAACTCACCGTGTTTCCTGATGTGGTTTCATTATTGTGATCATTAACTTCAACTTAGCCAAAGACAAGCATTCAGATTCTGTTTAGGTCTATACACTTATCCTTTTCTTGAATCTCCAACTATATAAATAACGCATTTTAAAAAAGACAGTTGTCTTTAGGCCAAATGATCATATGTAACCAAATAAATCATATATAATCTGAGCCATTTCTCAGCCTACCCAATGAGCAAAGAAGTCTATGGAGGCCTTTTTGTCACACTGACTAGACGAAATATTTATTAGTCTCCTATTTAGTACTTCGTGTTAATTTCAGCTTTTTTCCAGCTGTTTACCATTAAATAATAGAGGCTAGCACTTGTTCATTGACTAGAATTTTATATTTACCGTTTGTATTTCTTAGGATTAAAACTCAGCCTTAAAAGTGCTTCGATGCTTTCGTAATTTCCTTGTCGCCATCAATTCCACCATGAGAAAGCATCTGCAATGTTCCTACTTTTGTAATTTTTTGCATGCTGCTCCCTAGACACTGATGGTGGCTATTGAAAGACTTTCCCTTGGGCCTGGAAGCTGCCAGGTGGGTGGTGAGTAACTCCTCCCTTCTCAGGCCCAGTCCCAAGGCTCAAGACCACTTGCACCAGCAGCCTGCGTCAGCAAGATAGCAGAAACAGGAAGAGAGGAGCCGGAAGACACGTACCTGCTGAAGACCCAGAGGCCGTCCTGGGACCGCATAGCAGTTACATCAGGCTAAGACACTTCCTGTTTACAGGAGACTATATAAACCCCTGCCCCGTACTCGTTTGGTGCTGACGCCATTTTAGGCCTCAGCCCGTCTGCGCCCAGGCGCTCATTAAAGCGTGTGGCTCCACAACGCCATGTGGTGTTTGTTGGCGCACTCTTGGGGTTTGAACTGATACAACAGCCTTGCAGCTATTTCACTGGTTTAAAGGGGTTTTTTTTTTTTTTAATTGCAAATGAAAATTACTATCAACTATCATTACAAAGCTGTAGAATATAAAGTTCAAAAGAAAACGCTGAATCAGGTAAGGTCCATTCTGCCATATAATAATGACAAAGGTAGTAAAAGCACAGCCATTTCTTTGCCTAGAAATGACTTAGAGTTCTTTTATAGATGAGGCTAGAGAAGAGGCAGTGCCCTCAGGATGGTGAAGCGTTTCCTCAGAATGCCATCAACGTTTATTAAATGCGCACAGACACTAAGGAAAGCAGCCAGAGACTCCCTGATTTACTTCATCCCACGGGGAGGACTGAGAGAGGGGAAGGTAGAAGGGACAGTAACCCCAACCCTGATAACCACTTTTCTCATGTCTTACTCATTGTCTTAAGCTCAGATACAGAAACATTTCTTAAGCTACTGTGACTAGCAGGATCTGCTTTAGGCCTCAGCTTTCTAAATCTTTGTATGTATTTAAGGAGAAACTTTTAATAATTTAGCACATTTCAAATAAGCTATACACAGCAAGGAACATTCTCAGCATAACATGCACATCCTGCTTATTTGTCCCCGTTTCCAGTACACAAAAGCGTCTCAATTAGACTCATCAATTTTGAAACAATTCCTCTGCCATTTTGCCACCTCCTCTCAAAGTCAGCAACTTACCAGGTAAACTCCTCTTGTAGATTGCTCTTCAAAGGTAAGCTCATACCCAGGGTACAACACAGTGGTTAAGACACTGGTGATAAAACTGGATCTTTCCTGTAGCATCTACTTAACATAATATATTAATATGAATTGTGTGCTTTGTATACTTTGAGATGCACCACAAAAAAGGTCCAAAATTTCTTCAAAAAATCCAGTTCTGAATGTCTGTGGTCTTTGAGGTAACAAGTACCTTCTTTACCATGTAAAGGACCTGAGGTAGCTAACACATGAAGTCCTCAGTATTCAAGTTACTTTCCTGACAACTATAAGATGAGATAAGTTTTGGTGGAAATTTGAGAGCTGATGGGGTGGAGAGTAGAAGAGATGGCCTAATTCTGTATGCAGGTCATTGCCTTTGAAGACAGGCTTAGTTGGAGCTCTGAGGGAGGGGGAGGAGACAGGGGAGGATGGGACCCAGGGTAGGTGAAGAGTAGGCCAGTAGAGGAAGGTGCAGTTGGATGGTACATTTGGGTGCTGAGAAGCAAAGAGAGAGAGAGAGGTATTAAGAGTTAGGACAATGCCGGGCCAAATTAGGCTGTGTGGCTATTTTGCTCAAAACCTGTTTTACAACTTTTTGCCTTTGCCCTAGAATTATGCAGGAGCCTGGGGCCTGGAATCCTCCTAAGACATTCAGACCCGCTTAAGTGGAGCTCTTCAGTTGGCCACTGAACTCTTGCTTTACCCAGAACCTACTAGATAACTGTCCATGTTTCTCCAAATGCTCCCTGACTCTCTAACTTAAGTTTCTCCTTTGGTGACAAGTCAGTGGCATTCTCAGGTTTCCTTCTCATCCCCAGAGCAAGTTGTCCTACACCTTTTCTTCCCTTTCTGTTCTCTTCTCCCTCTCAACTCTAACCTCTAACCCTAATCCACCATTTTGGTGAATGTGGATTTTACCCCTCTCCTGATATAACTCTACAGTTTCTCCTCCTGAATCAGTTTAAGAAAGCCTTGTGCCAGTTTGCTATAGAAA